CCCCAAAACCCCAAAACCCCAAAACCCCAAAACCCCAAAACCCCAAAACCCCATTTATTACTGCGAAAATTGGCCTAATAAAATATAATTAATATTCAAAACGTAAGTTTGCTGCAATGCTACTATAAGAGAAGCTTGCCTACCGGTGGAGTTGAATCTCTCTTTAGTAATTAAGGGATGATGATCACGAAGCTTGGTTGGATTGATTATTAGAAATTTTACCTCCTCTTGACCTTCTTTGTATAAGCTACAACTCCTTTTTCAAATCCATACAGTTAGCCGAAGTAAAACCAAATCCGAGAACTCACTCTTAATAGATAGCTTTTTTTGTAGTGGAATTTCCTTATCATTTACAGTAAAGCCATAGTTGGATCATTTTCGATAGTAATATCTTTACTCTTCTTATCATTCACCAACCAAAAGTAAATTTCCAATCGAAAATTATCATCAAAGTAGAAGCACTCATAATGTCAGAGTTGAAGTTACTTCCTCTCACTTCACCGATAAAGAGCTTACTAAAGCCACTTGAGGCTATCCTGGCCCATTAGAGCTTATTGCTAGACCTAAAAATATGTTATCTCCACTAAAATTCATTGATCCTTGCTTCCACCACTAAGTATTCGCACTCAGCCATCTTCTGCGAGATATGGCTTGTTTAAATTTATCTCTTCTAACAATCATCAAGAATTTTCTGATGCTAAATTCACAAAAATATTGCCAAAGTAGCCAAATTTCTTTATGAATTTTTCTTCAAATTTAGTTGGTTTTAACCAAGTTTAGCTAAAACACAGAGAAATGATCAGGAGCAAGTCAAAAGTATCGAAAATAATTGTGATTGGTGATAAAGGAGTCGGCAAGTCGAATATTGTCACTAGATTTACACAAAATGAGTTCAGCCTTGAAAGCTCTTCGAATCCGATGATCAACATTTATACTGATGTCAAAATCAAACCATTCAGGTTCCCTGAAATCAGGAGGAGGTAGGAATTTATAAGTCATACTTTAGTGTGATTAGAGGTGAGGAAGATGACCTCAAGTTCCATATCTGGGATACTGAAAGCCAAGATGCACTCAGGAGCACAGATCTTTATTTCAAAGGATGACATGGAGTCCTTCTTGTGTATGATGTCACCAAGCAAGAATCCTTTGAAAACTTAGAGAAATGGGTTGAAATAATTAGAGAACATCTCTCAGATGCGAAGATACTCCTTGTAGGTAATAAAAGTGATCTTCACCATCTTAAAACAGTATGAACTGAAGATGGCCAAGCCTTTGCAGACTCTAAGGGTATAACTTTCTATGAAGCTAGTGCCTTAGATTGAACTAACATTAAAGATGCATTTGAAGAGCTACTTCAGACTGTAGTCGACTCAAACAACACCATGAGGTAATTTTCCCATAATCCATCTTCTAAAATCAATAAATTCCTTCATCAATATGAATTCGTCTTAATGGGGTTTTGGGGTTTTGGGGTTTTGGGGTTTTGGGGTTTTGGGG